AAGTGAGCGGTGTACATCTGAGCGGTGTACAAGTGAGCGGTGTACATCTGAGCGGTGTACATCTGAGCGGTGTACAAGTGAGCGGTGTACAACTTTTGTGTGTAGAAATGAACGGTGTACATCTGAGCGGTTACAAGTGAGCGGTGTACATCTGAGCGGTGTACAAGTGAGCGGTGTACAACTTTTGTGTGTAGAAATGAACGGTGTACATTTTTACGTGTCTAATTGCACCGTGTCAAAAATTTATTATCTATGTGTCCAAAAATCACTGTGTCTAAATGAACCGTGTCCAATTGAACCGTGTACACCAAAATGTGTCCATTCGAACCGTGTCTATTTGCAGCGTGTCCAATTGTACTGTGTCCAAATGCACCGCTCCCGTTGCTAGATACGAGGCCGGAGCGGCACCATATGTGACCGTAGTTAATTCGTATGTTTTTATTTCGGAAGTAGACACATCCCGCCAAAGAATTCGCTGATAACGAGTATGCCGGGGTTCTATTAATATTTGTCGGTACATTTTGATTATATCTGCCACGAAGACGAACTGAAATGTTCGAAAACGCAACAAAATCGCAATTAAATCCTGCTGAACTACTGGACCCGCTAAGAGCAAATCATTCAACGACACTCCAGAGCTACTTTTACATGACGCGACGAAGACTACGCGGATAGAGCTTGATTGAGGCATGGTTTTAAAAACGCAGTGATGCGGAAGGTAGAAAGATTCCCCTTCGTCATCTAGCGGATCCTCGATCTGTTTCATGTGCCCGAGCAAAAGGTATTCATGCGTTGTGCCTCTCGACGCAGTCGGGGCACGGGATGTGATTCGGGATCGTTTGCCGGGTTCACACAACGACTCTAGGTCGACGATTCAACAACCGTTTAAATAAAGTCTTCTTTATTCAAAACTAGTATAATTCTTGCACTCGCGTTAACAGCAGTTAACCGTATCGTTACTTAAATTAGACCCGCCTTCCTTCCTTTCCATTCCTTTTTATATCAATCGCGCTTGGCCCTGTTGTCAGGCCATTTATTGTTTAGTAAGCAGTTGTTCCGTTAGCAACTGTATGCGTGGCTTCGATGGATTCGTACTTTGCTCCGGATACTCGTTTTCGTCGCATGCGGCAGGTGTTATCTGATACCTTGCCGCGTGCGAAGTCGTCGTCTGATGTGAGGTATATCGCACTCATGACACCCTTCCCCCCTAATGGAAAGAAAGTGAGGGGGCGAACTTTATTTTTATACCCACTTAATGATAAAGTTTACATGTTTTGCTAAGTCTATGCCTACACTTGATTATCTTCCTGTATGGCAGCGGGCTTCGTTACGTTCCCTTTTTTGTTTTTTAGTTTCTTTATTATTATATGTTATTATTATTGCTATAAAAAATGGTAACTCCGCTCGTTGTCATAGGTATATAAATTGCTTATGGTGATAAAAGAGTGCTTGGCTATTCTCCAATTCTTCTTTTATCTTGTTGATATTTCTTTTTAAATACGTTAGGTCGGTTGGGTTTGTAAGTTTTTCTAACGTTATTTTGTTCGTACCGTTTTCGTATTTTACGTCATCTTGTACTAATTTAATTTTGGTGTTTGGCAAATATGTCTCTATGGTTTTTGTCTGCGTCACCTTTTTTGAGTTGATGATTTTACTTGCTGTAATCAATTTGCAGTTTTCTCTTAGCGTTATCTTTCCTGTGTTAACAATAGTACACTTTGATTCTGGATAGTTTTTGCACTGTAGCGTCATTAATTAATACATTTCCAGAAGTGGAATATAACCAAGAATTTTTTGTCGGAATCCATATAATTTCGGTCGCTAGGGTGTATTTTTTATTACAGTGTTCATCGTTATTATACATATACATGTCTGTTTCGCAGATCGCGCTTGTAGATAATCTATTAACAATATAATTTCGTTCGCACTGGTATTCCGAATTTATTTTGGTACATTCGTGCAAGTTTTCAAGTGTTACATAGGTGTGTTTTTCGGTATCTATTCCTATCCATTCGTGGTTTACTTCTATCGACGCGAAAATGTTGTGATGGCTATGTACTGGTAATGATATGACGTGTAATATTTCGTACGTCGGCGTCGTTGCGAGAGGGAATTGTAGGATAGTGAATATATTTAAACCGTCGCAATATGCGGTAAGTGTTGTGATTTTTTTCTATGTTTAACTAGGGATGCGCGATTTTGAAAAAAAACCGACATCGAAAAAATCGATATAAATAGAAAAATCGATACTAAATAATCGATTATTACAAAAAAAATCGATATATCAATATATCGCTTTTATTTTTTAATTTTTTAATATTTAATAACTAATTACCTTTATAATATTTTTAATATTAACAATTTTTTTTATATTAAGACCTTTATAAAATAATATTTAGAAATAAATCAACTTTTTGATTATAGAATTTATTTTATTTATCACAAAATAATTTTCAATAATGTAGAAAAATTTTTAACTATATTGTCATTCTCGTCTCTCTTTGCCATATTTCTTCTAATAATTTGAAGTGGTATTATTTGAAACTGCCATTTGTAAGTTGATATGTTCCTGCATAGAAAAGCAGGTGATTATTTCTGATGACATTTACAAAAGAATATAATTAAGATCCATGCCCATACACAAATCATATGATGATAAAACCTCACCTGGCTTCACTCTTAGTCAGTTAGAAAATCATCAATTTAAAATAAAAACACAAAAGATCCAAGGTCACCAGTATAAAAAGCCAGGTTAAAGGAAAAAAGGAATTAGTATAATTTCTTTTTAAAGGATAAGTATACAGTAAAGAGTGTTTAGACAAACAATAAATAATGAGAGCCCAGATGCAGGAAAATCTATCTTAATTTCCATTCTTCTTTTGAAAGAGATCCAAGAAATAAGAGTCGGTTCAAGTGCTCACCCGTTAATCGATTCCTCTCATTACTCTTGATGTCACCAGCCTCGGAAAATTTCCTTTCTGATGGTACAGATGTACTAATAATACTTATGTATCGAATTGCCAGTTCGTACAGTGTTGGAAACGAGTGCTTCAAAGATTTCCAATGTTGAAATGGATCGTTGTGTCGAGCGATCACCGGTTGCTTTAAATATTGTCTCAGTTCATGAGTAAGATGTTCGTCGTCTGTACTCTCGTCGGTACACTTTGCCACTAAATCATCATGAGCTTTCCAGAGACTATATTGACTGGTTGCTTCAGAGTTTCGTTGAACTAGTAGCTTTTCTTTCTCAATTTTGTTCACACTAATCGATTTCATTTCTTTGTTGATTCGTTCCACAGCAGCAGCTGCTGCACGGACATTTTGGAAATGGATTCGTTTAAATCGCGGATCAAGTATTGTAGGAACCGAGAGAATTTTATTGTCTTCAACATCTTTAAATTTCTGTCGAACCAATGCAAGGAGCTTTGCTTGGAAGATAATTCCTTCGTTTGTTGAAGAATTAATATGTTCAATTGATAGTATCATACAGTGAACGATTGGAATAATAACACTGCAAGTTGGATAGTTGCTGCCGCTGATTTCCTTAATGACACATTCAATTGGTTTCATAAGAGACACGACTTCCTGTAGGACTTCAATTTGGCTACGAGTCAGCATATCTGGAATGTCTGTTCTTTTGCATTTTAAAGTAACTGCGTGAACGTACTGCTCCAGGGCGAGAAATCTGTCCACATATAGAGAGTGGAATTCCAGCGAGTCGGAACATCGAGAATAAATTTCAAAGCAGTTCCCTCAGTCTTTCCATCAAGTATTTGTAACCGTTTCAGTTCATCTGAAGCTACAATACTTCTTCTGATAAGCACGACAATTTTCTTGACTGTGGCAATAATATCGTTGATTTCTGACATATCCTTCAGTACTTTAGGTACAAGACAAGACAAAAAATGTGCAAAACACCAGATATGTCTTTCAGGGCCTACGATGTTATGTACAGCAGCTTTAATATTTGCTGCTCCATAACTGATGATTGCCATAATTTTTGTACGATCTAATTTAAAATCCTCAATGACAGAATTGAAACACTCAGTGAGGTATTCTCCTGTATGATTTGTGTGCAGTGGAAAGACTCCCAAACATCCATTTTTCATGACAAGATCCTCAGACAGGTAATGAATTGTGACACCCAAATAGCTTTGGAAAGTACAGTTTGTCCAATTGTCACACGTTAAAGTATAGGACAAAGCTTTTTCGAGAGTGGACTTATAACGTTCTTTTGCATCAACATAACGAATATCCATTAATTTAGTTAGAGTCTTTCTATCAGGTATACGATAAAGTGGAGCTACTATTTTCATCAAGAAATTAAAGCCTTGTCTATCAACTATGGATAGTGGTTCTTTATCCTTGGCGATCATAAACATTAATGCTGTAGTAATTCTATCAGACTGTGCTCCTCCTTCTGAAAATGATAAATGAGTATTCGACTATTGACTAATCTTGACTTATTGATTGCTTGAAATTCACACAAACCTGAAAGAATTTGCTCTATCAAAAACTTCGTCGATTCGGGACAGCTTGCTCTGTTAAAACAAGTTGTAAATTTTAAGCTCATATTTTTCATTATTTATTAGAAATCAATATTATTACCTTTAATGCCAATTTTTTTCGTTTAAGCGATGGGTCATCTATAGTTGATTCACCGCTAGACTCAGATGTATCCCGGTCTGCCCCGAAGTGCCCTTTGTGCACCGACAAGGGCAGGCCGGCAAAGCACGTTCTGGGCGCAAAGTCCTGCGCCCAGAAGAACGTGCGTGGGAGGCCACCGGGGCAGCGCGCCATAGAGCAGGCGCCTGCCACCGGCGCTCCCCCCCGGCCGAAACGCGGCCGACGGAGGAGGAGAAGAAAGAAGCGGGTGGCTCAACCCAGGAGCCGCAACCGCAGCGCCAACCCAGCGGAGCGCCAAGGAAGAGGGCCTCACCTCCACCGGAGGCCATGGAGGTCGAGGCCCCATCGGACGGGGGGGATGATAGGGCTGAGTAATGCCTCGCTCTCCCCCCCGTCCGAACCTGAGGGGATTTGGCCTCATACAGGCCAATGCGAACCACTCTCCACAGGCGCAAGATTTGCTCCAACAAAGCGTGGTGGAGAGTGGTTTCACGCTAGCGATCGTGTCCGAGCCCCACCGCCCCCCGAGAGACAGCCCATATTGGGCTGTCGATAACGGGCAGGCGGGGGACTCGGTCGCGATTCGATGGCGGTCGGTGCCGGGTGGTCCCGACACGACCGTCATCGAAAGGGGACAACGGCATGTTGCCGTCCAATGGGGGCCCATCGCGGTCGTCGGGGTCTATTTGAGGCCCACCAGACGCCTTGCCCTGTTTAAGGGCTGGCTATCGGACATAGGATGGACGGTCCTACGTCTGAGTCCGAGGCCGGTCCTCGTGGCCGGGGACTTCAACGCGTGGCACACGAGTTGGGGTTCCCGGTGCACGAACAGGAAGGGGGAGGCTCTGGACGAGTGGGCGGCGGAGCACGGGCTGGTCCTCAGGAACGAGGGCCGGACCCCCACCTGCGTGCGGACGCAGGGGGAGTCCATCGTGGATCTCACGTGGGCTACCCCCTCGGCCGCGCGCTTGATCACCGGGTGGAGGGTGGAGCGGGGCGTCGAGACTCTGTCAGATCATCGATATATATCGGTGGAGCTCGGCGTCCTCTCCACCGTGCGTCGCCAGGAGGAGACGCGACCGCGATGGGCCCTTCGCAAACTCTGCGAGGACGCCCTGATGGCCTCGTTGGAGGCCGCCTGTTGGGTCCGGGGAGGTTTCCCCGAGACCCGGGAGACGGACCCCCTACAAGAGGCCGAGTGGATCGGGGCAGCGTTAACAGCGGCTTGTAACGCTGCGATGCCCCGGTCCAAAGCTCGGCCTCAGCGGGCCGTCTACTGGTGGACGGCAGAGATCGCCGACTTGCGTCGACGAGCCGTCCACCAGCAGAGGAGATTCGCCCGCTGCAGGCGCAGAGGCGGACAGGCGGCCGAACAAGCGACATGGGCGCCCCCGCTGACGGAGCGGCTGGACGTGGGATTCGTCCGGAGGGTGGTGCAGACCCTCTTCCCCGATATTACCGGGGAGGACGAGGGACCACCCTCCGAGCCGGGGGAAGATTCCCCCGACTGAGACGACTCCCTCGACGTCCAGCCGGAGGAACTCCAGAGGGCCGTCAGGAAGGCCCTTAGGGGCAACACAGCCCCAGGTCCTGACGGCCTTCCCAAGCGTGTCCACGCCCTGGCTATGGGCGTCCTCGCAGAGGAATACGCACGCGCGTGCAGCGCGTGCCTTCGAAGAGTTGTCTTCCCCCCGCGGTGGAAGGGTGCCACGTTGGTGCTCCTCCCAAAGGAGAGGAAAGACGCCTCTCTTCCGTCGGCGTATAGGCCTATATGCCTTCTGGACGAGGTTGGTAAATTGTTCGAGCGAATACTCGTGAACCGCCTCGTCCAGCACCTGTCCCAAACGGGCCCCGATATTAGCGGGGCCCAATATGGGTTCAGAGAGGGCCTTTCTACCATCCGCGCTTGTACGGGTCTCCAGGCCCTCGGTGAAGAGGGGAGGACCCAGG